TGTTAACTATGGTGAGGTAAATTGGGTTTAACGTCGCATCCAAGATTATTGCACTTATATAGCGACGTGCATGCACGGGTGGGTGTGTGGCTGCTTGTACTAGTCCGGACTGCTGCCGATTTATAGTGCTAGCACACTGAGATACCATGCCGCAGTTTAACATGAATACCCCACTCAGACACAGTATACTGACTCCGAGCCGACCAGTCCTTGTTTTAGCCCCTTAATGCTGAGCGCCAGACAGGGTAGCAACAAGTACCATCTTTTAACGTCTTTTTGTATGACGCGGCCGGGGACCGAACCCCGGACCTTCCGCTCTACGGGTGGAGGCTCTATCACAAGACCACGGAGGCAGTCCCATGTTAACTAAGTATTGTCACTTACACCTCACCTGCACCTCTTGTTAGCTTCAACTATGACTGAACCAATCGATTTCTGATTTTTGCGAGAGAAAAAATAATGCCATATGAAGTTTGACACAATGCCTCAATAGCCCTGTCAGACTTGTGGACTTGGCCAGGAAGCACAGATTACGCCTAGATTCTTGTCATTGTAGCACTGTTATTAACTTCAAAAATAAATAACTAGAAAAATATATTCCTGTTTTCTCATTTACCAAGCTGCTCATGACCCTACAGGTGAACTTTACATACATATTTTACAATCGACGGAGGAGTGAGTGAGTGAGTGAGTGAGTATGGTTTTACGCCGCTTTTAGCAATATTCCAGCAATATCACGGCAGGGGACACCAGAAATGGGCTTCACACATTGAACCCATGTCGAGAATCGAACCCGGGTCTTCGGCGTGACGAGCGAACGCTTTAACCACTAGGCTACCCGACCGCCCCAATCGACTGAGGAGACAGACCAGATGGAGCTTACAAACCACATCAGGAGGAAGGATCGTTTAAAACCCAATTCAGTATTCCTACACATACCTGATCACAGATAGGGTTTTTAAAAAAAGTGGGGTAAAAAATCCCTGGGGCTTCTATTGGATCAGGGAGTAAGATAAATATTTTCATAATTTCATTTGAGAGACTGAAACCTCTTTTGGCAGACCTGCTCTAGTCCTCATAAACTATCAGATTTTAATTCCCACCCACATGATAGACATAGACAATGAGTTTATATTTTAAACATTTATTTATTGAGGCCCAATCGTTTAACCATCAAGTGAATGAGTTGTGTTTAATGCTGCTTTGAGTGAGTGAGTGAGTTGGGTTAACGCCGCTTTTAACAGTATTCCAGTCATATCGCGGTGTGTCAGCTTAATGTGGGAGGAAAGCCCAAAGTGATGCAGGCCTCAGACGTTAACCACTTCGGTGAAACCCACGAGCACGGGTATGGTGCTGACAAACCTAGAAACATAATCGGGGCGAACCGGGATTCGCTACCCACAATCGTAGGTTTCTGGCGTGCCCAAGGAACGCTGCTTTGAACAGCGTGTCAGCTTAATATGGGAGGAAAGCCTGAAGTGATGTAGGTCTCAGACGTTTACCACTTTGGTGAAATCCATGGTGCTGGGAAACCAGGATTTGAACTGACAATTATTGGTTTCTGTCGTGCCCAAGGGCCGCAACTCTGCACAGCAAATCGCAGCGCCTTAGACGACTGGGCCACCCGTGCCTCTGACATACTATTGGAAATAACATTTCTTCCTGTTCCGTGTTTGATATTAATTAAGGGGGTGGGGTTGGATGGCGGTGTGTGTGTTCCTGCTGTAAAATTTGTGAGTTGAGGCACGTTAGACGACTGAAATACCCATGACCCTCTTAGCCACACAGAAAGAAATGCCAACAGTCATATCCACTCAACAGGTCAAGGACTTTTTCTAAACCAACAGTACATTTTTCAGTCCTATAAAATGCCAGTTCTCAGTATAAACAAACATGATCAACAAAAACCTAGCTAACCACAAAATATGCTCAATTTATTCATTCACTTCAATACAGTGTGCGTGCGACTAACCCGGTAATTCTAGCAGTAAATCTTCTGTACAATCTGACAGCAAAATCTCGCTATCTACATATACATCAATACCCTGCAATCATATCTACACCTATCTGACAACATACTTGTGACCAGTTCAAAAATGTACAACGAAGATAACATTTTAATCAATAATACCGTATGTCGCTGTCTATAGTGCAAGTTTTTGGTATCTACAGTGAGGGCATGAAAGGGGCTTAATTGTGATTTAATTACAGAAAAATAGAGGTCTATTGTATAAAGATCAACCCCATTCTAAATAACAAATCACAGAACTCCCATTCTTTTGCTTTGTAACAGTGTACATGGGGCATATGAATTAGCATTGATTTTGAAGGTTTCAACACAGCATCACATTATAGGTGGGGTTGTTATAGATGGGGTTGTTATAGATGGGATAGACGGTACTGGTATGTAAAAAATATTCATTGTATAAACCATGAATTTGCCAGCAACAGTTCACCTCAGACAATTGTACTGCCACATATGGACATCTCACGAGCTCCTTTACCCCGGTATCATTTCTTCCCCTGTTTTTGGGACATGAATCACTGATTTTTTAATTGGAACACCACTGATGTTACTGTAGGGGCCATAAAATTTTCGAGTCCTGTGATGGGATTCAAACCACGGACCTTCTGATCCGAGGTCGGATGCCCTGTCCACATGACCAAAGAGGTTAACTCTGTCAGCAAGCTGACAAGGTAAGGACGTCGTCTGTGGGATGACTCCACGCCCAGCTACATACTTCCCTGTCAACAGAAGGCACGTCTCAGGCCGCATAGTAGGGTACTGAGGCTTATTTTGCTCAAATTTAATATGAACGTGCTCAGCCCCACGTTGGGCGCCAATGTAGCGGCCATAAAATTTCCGAGTCCCGTGACCAAGGGGGGTTAACCCTGTCAGTAAGCTGACAAGGTAAGGATGTCGTCTGTCGGATGATTCTACGCCCTGCTATATTACAAATTCAAAATGTGACATCCCTCCACTACCTCTTTAAAAACTCCGACTCTCATATCAATACCAAAACACTCAATTTTGATGTATCCTCATACATATTGTAATTCCCCTCCACACACTCACCGAAACAGTGTTACCATGGTTACTGGTACATCACACTGGTACATATATCTCATTGGTTGCAGATCTGAAGTTAATGACTTGAAAGCTGCCTGAAGTTTTTATATCAAAGGGGGGTAATCCCTGTATGACTAAGGGAGGTAATCCTGCAAGAGTATTTTGTATTAGCACACAGATAACACCATCACATTCTGTACATGCTGATTCCTGTGACAAAATTAATCTTACGCTTTTGAAATACAGAGGAATATAAAAAAAATGATATTTTACATGGAGTGAGTAAGTGGCTAGGCTATTATATCAAGATAATAACCATAAAATATGGCATATTTTGCACAATTAATTCATCTTCTCATATTACGATATCTTCATCTTTGCAAGTTAGTCCTATTATTACACTATCTGGCTATAAACATCTTCATTGTGTATCTGGACTTCCGTTGTAATCCATTATACTGCTTTTCCCCACGATTTCATTCAATTTTGTTTACATTAATTTCAGTGAAATGGTATGATCTGACCAGCAAATCACATCAACTCACAGTGAACTCATCTTGAATTGAACATTAGTCGTTAGAGATACAAAGTCCTCGGTCTTCCTATGAATTTTGTTTACAGTTATGGCCATGACATGAAGTGTTTTTTAAACTAAATCACCCATAATCTGTAAACAGCTGATAGTTATTTCCGGCTTTTTTTACGAAACAAATACACATGTAATCTTATTCTCTGCGTATGAAACTTCGTCTGCCATCCAGTACACAAATACCATTGAATTTGTAAATCATCATACCTAGTGATGTTTTATAAAAAAAATTCATGTTTACACAGACCAAATTTGCAAACAGCAAAACAAGCACACAACTATAGCCGCCATGACCATAACATATAACATGAGCTGCGCTCAGTAACGTCACATCAATCAACACATCAATAACATCCATACAGGATGTCGACAGGCCAATCAGATACCTAGATTCTTTAATGAGTAATAATATAGTAATGATATAGTGGACACAATATCGCATAAGCCCCACTACAGTTGCAGGCAGTTATTGAACATAGACTTGTGACTAGAGTTGCTTCCCTTTCCAGCAATTTAAACAAGCTCCTTCCAAACGTGACACCTTCGTTACATTTGGCCGCAAACCCTAAATGTAGTAACATTTATACTTTCGTTTATGTCTTTGGGAATGCCATCATATTTTATTGTGAACAGGTTTACGACTGATCACATTTTCCATATGAATTTACTTTGTTGTTTGTAAAATCAGACTTGTTCGAGATTGCAGACTAACGGAAAATCAACCACGTCTCCCTTACATTCGTACTATATCAATTACATGATAGTTTTAATGAAATAGAAATTCAAATTGACAAACAAAGAAAAGTAATTTAGCAGCGGTAAGTGTATTCGGCGCCGCGACAGTTGTCACTTGTTTGTAAACACAACGGTCATTCGGTTGCGAGTTCAAATTCGCGCAAGGTCGGTCTGACGTGACCCGTAATGGGATGTCCTCAGATCTTTGTTTAGCGATAGCCAGAACTAAGATTTGATTTTAATGAGAATGCTCATAGTATATTCGTTGCACTCTAGTATAGAGTCACTGATGAAGATAAGATGTAACCATGGAGACAATGGATGAGTTGGACTAGGTATTGTGATTTGGTCCAAATGGAAGACAGATCGGAATCCAACACAAATCTGGAGTGTATTTTGGCAGTTTTCACAAGTTTTGGATTTCCACACCCTTGAAGTGACCTACTATTGGCGTGAGTGAGTTGGGTTTCACGCCGCTTTTAACAGTATTCCAGTTATATCACGGCATGTCAGCTTAATGTGGGAGAAAAGCCCGAAGTGATGCAGGCCTCAGAGGTTTACCACTTCGGTGAAACCCACGAGCACGGGTATGTTGCTGACAAACCTAGAAACATAATCGGGGGTGAACCGGGATTCGAACCCACAATCATAGGTTTCTGGCGTGCCCAAGGGCCGCAACTCTGCACAGCGAATCGCTGTGCCTTAGACGACTGGGCCACCCGTGCCCCCGACATACTACTGGAAATAAAATTTCTTCCTGTTCAGTGTGGGGTTGGATGGGGTGGTGTGTGTTCCTGCTGTAAAATTTGCATCAAGGGACACCCTAAAGCTTCTGCTTTTAACATCAATGTTATCACTTTACCACTGGGACTTAATTCCGAACACAGCTTTGGAAAATTAACACAAAGAAAACAATGTTCCAACTATTCACTGTTATCGTTTTTCCTTAATTCACTATTGAAAAGAGCCAAAATTTGTTTTGGCTGATAGAAACCACAATATTTCATGACACACAGATTGAGACATTACATAGCTACAACTAACATTAAAATAAAGTGAAAATACAACTGTCAATGAAGCCGGTTGTCTTGACAACAGAGATGCAGACATTTTCCATCTGCTCTTCGGTTAACTCTTCTTTTCCTTCCTCCATAGTTTTTGTTTAAATCACAAGGTCATCATCCTTATTCAAAGTCTTCAAATCAAGGTTTGAATGGTTGGAATCCATCTCCTTCATCATTTTTGTAACCCGCTGATGAAACAAATCTTTTGCATACTGATATAAGTATATATCATTTCTGTTTAATTCAATAATTCGATCAATAACTGCCTTGGACAGGCCACTCTGGCTACTCCTGGTTGACATCCACTGGACGAAGTCGTCAGCAAACTCTAATCCAAAGGTGTGTTCAAACAACTTCTGAGTCAAATTCTGGACCTCGGTCAAGCCGAAAAAGGCCAATTTGCGTAGATTTTCTTTTGCACTTGCTAAAATTCTGGCATTCCGCTCCTCTGTCGACATTCCGGTCGTATTATAGCAGTTGACCAGGGTTAAATTGGCCAGCATTCGAGACTGGCGATTTATGGCCAGGTTATGCGGGCAGTTCATGAACTCGTCTATTGACACGTTTTTCCAGTCAACTGTGTCAAAACAGAACGGCACCTCTTCCAGTGTAGCAGATCTTTTGTTGCAGGCTAGCGTGGCCGTCTTCCACGTCGCACCCCGGCGGACATGCATCCATTCGCTCAGGAATCTCTTCACCGGGTTTCGAAGGATTGTGATGTACAGATATCTGAAAAAAAGATTATACAGAAATGAATGAGATTTCCCATTTTCACAATTCAGGCAAAAACACTTGTGTTTACCAAACACATTACCTTGCTTGTGACCCTGACAAACATCTCGAACTAGTCTAACAGTCCCTGAACCACATTATTATCCATTCCGTCCAGCCGTTACTGTAATGCTGTCAATGAGGATGAGTGTTGTCCAGGCAAGACCGGAAGTTGGTAGGTATAGTATTGATACATACACGTGATCACGTGATCGCGAGAATTTCATGTTGACATAGAATCGTCAAACAAAAACAAATATGACTTTTAACGAGTCAAAGTATGTCATTTATGATATGATATATGTATCCATTCTCTGTCAACTAAAGTTTGTTTCAAGGCGTCAATAGCGGTATTCTGACCGTGGTTGCTGTTAATAACGGTGAGTTGTGCGATCTTCCGATTGCTTCACACACGATTTCGCCGAAATTAATAAAAACAATATTATAAGGAATTTTGAATAAAATCAATGAAATAAGTTACAAACATAAGTCCAGATATACAAAGAACACTTTTTATAGCCAGACAGTGTAATTACATAATTATTTTGCGTACTTCAGTATGGATTTTTTGACATGGTATTCCCGGTGTTTCGTGCTCACGGTAATGTCTTTCCATGGGGGGAAAAAAACATCCAAACTCATAATTTGTGTATAATGCGCACCCCCTTCTACACAGCTGGTTTTTTTTCAAAAAAAAGTGCGCACTATACTCAAGAAAATACGGTAAGTGAATATTAGGTGACTAGATATTTATCTCTGTAACTGTTATACATTTGACAAACTGAAAATGTTTTTAATCTTACACAACGTTGATATTTTACTGTAGAATGACAATAACAAAGAAATCAATCTTCTGTCTCTACTTGATGAAGGGGTGAAATGGGGTTAAATGTCACATTCAAGATTATTGCACTCATATAGTGAGTGAGTATGGTTTTACGCCGCTTTTAGCAATATTCCAGCAATATCATGGCGGGGGACACCAGAAATGGGCTTCACACATTGTACCCATGTCGGGAATCGAACCTGGGTCTTCGGCGTGATGAGCTAACGCTTTTACCACTAGGCTAGACGACTGCCCTGCACCGATATAGCTGTTTGTACTATTACGTGTGTGGTGTGGCGTGGCGTGGCGTGGCGTGGCGTGGCGTGTATGTGTGTTTCTGCTTGTACCATGCCACAGTTTAACATAAATACCCCACTGAGGAACATTACACTGACTCTGGGTGTGACATGTTCCATTTTGTCAGAACATGATCTGTGAAATGGTCGATAACTCACATTTTGTTTGTTTGTTTGTTTGCTTGTTGTTTAATGCCCCACTCAGCAATATTCCAGCTATATGATGGCGGTCTGTAAATAATCGAGTCTGGACCAGACGATCCAGTGATTGACAACATGAACATCGATTCGTGGAATAGGTCTTCAGCAACCCATGATTACGCAAAAGGTGACTATGCTTGTTGTAGGAGGCGACGGACGGGATCGGGTGGTCAGGCTAGTTGATTTGGTCGATGCATGTCATCGTATTCCAATTGTGTGGATTGATGCTCATGATGTCAATCACGGGACTGTCTGGTTCCGACTCGATTATTCACAAACGGACGTCATATAGCTAGAATATTGCTGCGAGTATCTTGGACAGATTTCCCGAGGCAAGAGAGTTAACTGATTTTAAAAGGCCAGTTTCCACCTTGCCGAACTAGGCTGGAATTCCTGGGATCGATTGTAGCGCCACCAGTGGCTAAGTTATGTCCCTTCTATGCCTCTCCTATGGACCAATCAGATTCCACCTCTCTTATCACTTGCATTTGCTTCAAACAAAATGGCAGCGCCCAATCAAGATGATCTGCTCGATAATCAAGATCCATGGGCGGATACAGAGTAAAAACATGAATAGATTTAGAAAATATCTGTTGACAACAAGTTAGCTGTGCACATGTTTTGCTAACCCTGCAGTCGACCGAAATCTGCATGACACTTTACGAACCGGATTTCGATTTCGGTTCGCGATTTTGATTGGACTATGCATAGACTCGTTAGTCCAGCCAAATGTAACGCCATAATACCAGCCTAGTTCGGCAAGTGTGGAGTGAGTGAGTGAGTATGGTTTTACGCCGCTTTTAGCAATATTCCAGCAATATCTCGGCTTGCTGTCCCAAGTGTGTCCATGTTGCTGGGACGAGTTAAAATTTACTACCAGGTACTCACCCCCCTATAACCCAACCCTACCCGGGTACCCCCCCCCCCCCCCCTCCCCCCTCCCTATTACCCGACCCTACCCGGGTACCCTCCCACCTATTACCCGACCCTACCCGGGTACCCAACCCCCTATTACCCGACCCTAACCGGGTACCCAACCCCCTATTACCCGACCCTACCCGGGTACCCAACCCCCTATTACCCGACCCTACCCAACCCCCTATTACCCGACCCTAACCGGGTACCCAACCCCCTATTACCCGAACCTACCCAACCCCCTATTACCCGACCCTAACCGGGTACCCAACCCCCTATTAGCCGACCCTACCCGGGTACCCAACCCCCTATTACCCGACCCTACCCGGGTACCCAACCCCCTATTAGCCGACCCTACCCGGGTACCCAACCCCCTATTACCCGACCCTACCCGGGTACCCAACCCCCTATTACCCGACCCTAACCGGGTACCCAACCCCCTATTACCCGACCCTACCCCTCAAATTTCAAGATACTAAGTTAACATCCTAAGATGTAAACATATGTTAATAAGTGAATAATCTTGAAATATCAAGATCCTACGGAAGTGTTTTACATGTTTTAGGGACATTTGTTTTTTTCAGTTTTTTCGATACTATCTTGAAATTTCAAGATACTAAGTTGAAATTTTAAGATAGTATTTTGAAATTTCAACTTCTATATCTCGAAATTTCAAGATAGTATCGAAAAAAATAAAAAAGCAAATGGCCCTAAAAGGCTTCCGTACAATACTGTGATGCTTGTCAAAGTTACAATAAGCAAGATGTATTCTTTATTCACAGCGGCCTGGCAGGTCAGCCTCGGGGTTGACATGGTTAAGGCGTTCGATTCCCCACATGGGTGCAATGTGTGCATTTTGCTTTCTCGGACGATCGATATCCAATTTTTTTATGGTCAATAATTACCGGGGTAAGTACAGATGAAAAAAGTATTCAAATAACTATTGCTATCAACGATATTTTAGTATTTGTGATTAAATTTATCTGTCTTGTTTTTAAAAAAATCTTTAGTTTAAAAAACAACTTTTCCTGTGAGGTCACGTGATTACCAAATATGGGTTAATAGTCTCAATCCAAATGTTACAACGCGTACACTTGAGCAGACTTATGAATATAACTCATGAATATTAATTAGACCATTCACTACGTTAACAGATCGTTATTATAACAGAAACAAACGTATGTTTTCCATGTAAATCTAAAATGATATTATTTGTTATAAATTACCGGTGAATTAAACAATATAAATTGAAAAAATTCATAATTCATCATATTATGAATACGTAAACTTGTAATGTGTGTGAAAAGTCGTACTAAAATACACTATTTGAAGGGGGCGTGGCCTAAATGCAAATGTCCAATTGGGATTTTAAATTTTCCGGACCCCTGGTGTGAAGCCCATGTCTTGTGCCCCCACCGTGATAATGCTGGAATATTGCTAAACGTGGCGTAAAACCATACTCACTCACTCACTCATTATCCACTGCAGTAGAGTCAGTGATTCTGACACAAAAAGCTGTATACAGATCAATGACTTGGACCAAGAAATGTAAAAAGTCAATGGCAAGAGTCAATAAGTCAAATCAACAGAAATGGTGAATCAACCATAACAATAAACCGATGTAATACCGTTCGTGATTGGATGAATGAATACAATCTGGCCAATGAATGTTGCCATAAGAAAAGCACTTGGCTAAGTCACTATAGCACCTGACCGCAGTTCCCTTTGATACAGAAAGCATGATTCAAAAACACACCCTGCTCAGAATTTCAATTACATTTTGATCACAGTGCCTTGTTTTATTGAATCAATATTGAAGTAGGACTAACCCTTACTACTTACTTTTATATCATGAAATTATGAAATTATGAAACTTGTGAGGCCTTGCTTTAGGGGCCGTCACACCATGACATTCTGGTCAACGTTCTCTGAACATTTCAATCGTTCAATTTTTGAACGTGTGATTAAGGTGTGCCTAACGCATGACGTGTGTGTGTCTAACGCACGAGAAGCGTGTAACAGCGACCAAGTAAGATACCCCTGAAAACCATTAGCGTGTGCTAACGTGCCACTGGCGCGCGACGAACGATTTGTCAACGTTAGACGAGCGTGTTGAGCGTGTGACTAACGTGTGAATAACAACAGAATAGCGTCTTGCTGGCATGTTATTTTTACGGTCAAACGGGTACAAAACGTGTGTGCTAGGGGACCGTTCAGCGGTCGTTGACAGGTCGCCAGTGAGTCGTTCAATGCAAAGCAAACGATTAGTAACAACCAAGTAACGCTAGAGTAACGACTGACTAACGATAGCCGAACGCGTGCAACGCTCGGCGAACGTTAGTAAAACGTTCCACAAACGTTCTTAAACGTTCTTCAGCGTTTAAAATTAAACGTTGAAGAACGCTGGTCTCAGTGAGAACTTTTGTGCATGTTCAAAACTTTATTTCCGGACCAGCGTTCTCCGCCGATTCCCGGCAATCACCGACGTTCACTAGCGTTCACACAACGCTCTTCTGGCGCTATCCCAGCGACCATGGGCGACTACCAACGTTTCCTCGAACGTCATAGAACGCTGACCAGAACGTCATGGTGTGACGGCCCCATTAGCATCTCTATCAGTCCAAAGTCTGACTCCTAAACAAACCATCGGTCAAATTGAAATTTGATTGGTGTATGACCGGTGACCGACAGCCTTCTGAAACTGTGCGAGTACATTTGTG